GTTGGTGGGGGCATGCTCTTGGCATCCCACTCCTTTTGCTTGCCAGCTGGGTCCAAACTTTCCGGTGTTGTCTCCGGGTCTGGGGCAGCGTCACCCTTGTTTTGGATCTGAAGCTTTTGCATCTGATCGATCAAGAGCTGGAAGTCGACTGTGCCAGGTCGCAAAAGGAGGGATTGGGTCGGGCTGCTATCAGGATGCTGGAAGCTGTGTAGAAGCTTGGCCGCCTCCGCTACCTGATCAGGGGAGAGCTCAAACATTAATATATATATATATATGCAGCTAGATACGTACCTTGTGCAAGTCAGCCCCGTCCAACTTGTTCTGCGACATGGTCCCAGCTTCGTTCGGTTTGTCTGCACTAGAGATCTCGGCAGCTGCATCCAACTGATCTGTGTTCCCAGCTTCGTTCGGTTTGTCTGCACCAGAGATCTTGGCAGCTGCATCCGGATCTGTGTCCCCAGCAGCTTCTACCTGATCTCACTATACTACGATCTTATTATGCTAGCTTCTAGAGTCTAGCGGCCCATATGGAATCATAACAATATACGATGGGTTCTCTTACCCTGCAACACTGCCCGGACCCCCAGACCAATCCCATATAGACACCCGGACGATCCACCCACGAGGCAAGCGGCAAGCATCTGCTCCTGGCTCTGCTCCACCTGCGTCGCCACAACCTCCTGGAAAGCTGGCTACGGCTACAAGCGAACTTTGGAGTATTGTAGGGTTTAGGGGCTTAGGGTTTTTAGGGTTTGGGGGTTTAGGGAATTAGGGCTTTCAGGGGCTTAGGGTTTATAGGGTTTGGGGGTTTAGGGAATTAGGGCTTTTGGGGGCTTAGGGTTTTTGGGGTTTGAGGGTTTAGGGAATTAGGGCTTTTAGGGGCTTAGGGTTTTGGGGGTTTGGGGGTTTAGGGAATTAGGGCTTTTAGGGGCTTAGGGTTTTTGGGGATTGGGGGTTTAGGGAATTCGAATTCCTACATATAGCACTTTCTAGAATTTTTGATAGTGACCTAGCTGCCCTAACTCCTGCTGATCTGGTAGGGTCATCTGTGTCTCCAGATCTCGACGAAGCTGTTCAACTTGAGGATCATCCGGCTCAACCAAAGTAGGCTCCGAGCTGCTCTTGGCAAGCTCCCTAGCCTCCCAAAGTTATCATGATCATGAGGTGTTTGGGGCTTATCATTTAGTAGCTTCCCTACGCCTGCTTGATGACACACGGGGTGAGCATCTCCGTTTCCAGGGATGCCGCGCTGGCACCTCTCTGTAGGTTGTCTGCAGAACCTTAGACAAAGCATGGTATCGGATTTGATATCTGCTTAGCTTATTATATTAGATATAGCTATCTTAACCTACAAACATCTAGATCGATATGAAAACCGAGCTGCCGTTCTCGCTTTGGAAGTGCAAAGTCTTCTTTGGAGTGGCAAGAGCTTCCGGGCCCGTTTTCTGCTGCTTGGGGTCGGGGGTTTTGGTGCTGGGTGTGACAGTGCTGGGACTGGTCTTCGGTTCACGGGCCCGTTTCGGGGCTTCTGCCTTCGGTGTCACTTCTTTCTTTGCTTTGGTTTCCTTGCTTGGGGTTGCCGGGGGCCCCATCTGTTCCAAAGCCGCCCTTGCAAGAGCTTGCCGTCTGCGGCCAGCGGAAAGAGCAGCCGCTGCCACCTGCTGCTACGTACTACGCTAGGGGTTTACACCGTACATTGCTAGCCCTACCAGGCCTCCTCAAGGCATTCCTCTTTAGATCACAGACTCCAAACCCCCCCCCCAAGAACCCCCCCCCCCAAACAAATAATCCCAATTAGTCCTTATTAGTCTTTATTTTTTGGGCGTATGTTACTGCTTATTTCAGCTTATTTCATGTTTATTTGGTTCTTATTTCATTCTTATTTGTGTGTTATTTCGGAAACAATTTTCCAAAGCGTCTGTTGACTCCTTGGCAAACACAACAAGCCCAAACCCACTTCACAGTGCCAGCGGGACAAGCAAATGGAGCTGTTTAATCAAGGTAAATACTAGGAATCATGGTGGGTGCTAGGAGTGGAAGTGTAAAACAATGGTAGCAGCAGATGCAGCAGCAGGGGCAGCTCGCAGCAGCGTGCTAGTAAGTAGCAGCAGCAGCAGCAGCGAGCCGTACTAGTTAATTAGGGCGGGTTGCTGTTTGTTCAACCGGCCTAAACTTGGGTGCGCAAGAAGTTGTGACAGTGGGGCTTCACGGTTTAGATTTGGGCTTTGCCGTGCGAAGCTGGGAGCATGTTTTCCACCACGCAGACACATAGAATCTGACAAGTAGGCACGGTCCTCAGACAGAAGCCTGCACCCCAGCAGCACTTCAAAGTTCTGTAATTGTTGATCTTGCATCGCAGTGGGTAACGGAATTGTGTTCAATCTTTGAGGCACAGGCCTACACTGACACTAGGCCTCAGCAGATGCAGTCACAGAGGGACAGCCATGGTCCCTCAAGCAGCTGCGTCAGCAGGCATCGAGGCCACGAAGTCACGACATTCTTGATCCGTAGGCCTCTGCAAAGACATGATCGGCTTTTGAATTCTATTTCAGGGTCGAAACTAGTCTTAGACTAAAAATAAATAATAGCCTAGAAACTAGACTTAGACTACAAGCCTAGCGTCTCTTTAGACTAGTCTTAGGGCCTTGCCAAAAAAAACACGAAGACACCCACTGGATCCACAGAAACAGCCAAGCAGCCGTTGCAGAGGCTCCGCAGGGTACTTGCTGTTGTACCTGCCGTACACGAACTCCAGCACAGTGTGAAGGGCGTCGGATTCGTGGGGATTCCGCGCTGTGTTCCACTTTCTTTGGAAGGTCTGTTGCTCCAGGATGTCATCGCCTGAGTGTGGTATTAGAATAGTGGAATCAAATTATTGTGGTTTGGATTTGGGGCATTAGGGTTCGGCTACAGCGGCTACGTTGCTGGCCAGGGAAAGAAATACAACTCAGTTCCAACAAACACAACAGAGTGTCTGGGGTAGTTCGCCTTGTAGCCGTACGAGTTAGGCAGGCGCAGAAGCGTACATTCCGCTCTGAGTTTGTCCGATCGCAACATCTGAATCAGGGAAGCCGGTGTTTGTGGCTCCGCACGCGCTGCCCCTGAGCGGCGCTCTGCATCAGGTCCTGCCGCTCCAGATCCCGCCGCTGGCGCCGCCGCCGCATCACGACGGCCCACGGCCGCTGCCGCTGCCGCACCTGCCTCAGCTGCCTTGGTGGCCGCATCGGCGGGTCCGTGTTCCTGCTCCTGAGGTCGCAAGAACTCATCAAACTTAACGTGTTTAATGATTCGGTCTGCTCTAATCATACTACATCGTTATACATCGAGAAATGAAATGGCACACCACTACTAACCAAAACCTCGATTCCTTCGACTGTTTGACAGCACGTTTGCGAATCTGCTCATGCAGCTGAGCCTTGGCGAGATGTGCCAGCTTTTTGAATTCAGGGCATTCACGATCTTCTTCTGCAAGCTGTGCTACGCAGTCCAGCACGGACTGCTCATCCTCCGTCAGATTTTTTCCAGACCTGAAGCAAATTGCACCGACCATATGGTTCCGAGCGACTGCGTCGTCGTCCGGGAACATCTCTGAGCACAGTTTGTGAGCAATGTCCGCCTTGAGAACTCTGCCTTTCTTGCCGCTGCCTTTTGCTGGCATGTCAATGCCAAGTGCAGCACAAAGCTGCTTGAGGTCCGGGACTGTCAAGAACACGCCAGCTCGCAGACCACCTTCCAGCAGCGGCACGCCCTCTGCATCGACGATCCTCCATGCTGAGCAGAGTCCTTTGCTCAACGGGGGCACGAAAGCACGTAGCGCAAGCTCTGTTGGAATGAGTTTCCAGGGACCGTCCTGCAACTGAAAGCACGTCATCCACACGATGTGCTGCGAGGATCCGCTCGGGGATCGAAGCACAAGGTAGTCCTGCAACAAGTAGCACGGCTAGGCTTCGGGTTTAAATTTTTGGGGCTTGGGGTATCGTATTTTGGGTGTCGTTGCTTACCCTAAACCCTATGTCGAAACCCTTAAAAGACTTAGACTTGTCAGCGAAGCGGGTGGGGACAAAACTTAGGGTTAATGGCTTCGGCTTAGGGCTATAAAATTTTAAAAAGATTCATAATTTAGGATCGGCACTTTAGCTATTGATTTCTGTATGGGGCCGGATTTGAAATTAAATAGACGATATTTGATATAGTAAATGTTTTGCAGCGCGAGTTGAGTTCGAGTCCAACCCTCAAGGCCCTTGACTCGACCCCAACACCAGTACAGTCCATGAACCCTCGGCCTAGACGGAACAAAAATACTGTTAACTTCATAGTCACCTTGCCTGACTGTCGATCGTGACACGCTCTAGCGGAAACCCCGCAGCAGCCCACTTCCGAAAACCCAAGCTGAGGACATACTGCTCGTTGCCGCCATCAGCATGCTTGAACACAGCGCCTTGCTTGAAGAAGGCACCTGAGCTGCCGAGGGGTCATAGGCTCTTCGACAATGCGCCAAGGCGGGGTCTAACTGGTTAGAGTGTCTAGACTCTAGAGAAATCGGGCGAAGTTCTGGAAACTTTGCAGCACGGTAGTGGGAGGCAGCAAGACTCAAGTCGTCCTGTTGCGTTAAATAATAAAACAATAGGATCGTGCAGCATTGCAGCAGTAGCGATGTTACAGCTTTAACAGCAAAGTCACCCACCCAACAAAGATCTATGTGGGACCACCGGCTTTCCTGGTCCTGCATCAGGTAGGCCGCTGCTGCTGAAGACCGCTGCTGCGCAAGCGGCCCACTGTTCCGCCACTTGCTTTCTTTCATCTGCTTCGGGCGATGCATGGCCTCGGGATTAGGGAGCAGGGTATTCTTGATGGAGAACATGTTCTGGCTGGCATAGAGCCGGTCGGGCAGGCCGGTGGGCCCCAAAACCGTGTCAAAGTCGCTCTGCTCGGGGAGAACCTGCGGGCAACCGCCTGCTTCAGCATACGGAGAGACAATCGAGTATAGCCACTTGCACGAGTCCGCCATTTTATAATTTGTCGAATGGGTGCTGGCCTTGCGATGCAAGAACGCGAAAGTGCTCTCAAGCAGGTCCTTAGTAGTCGAAGATCCCATGTACATGCGCTTGGCAAGTTTTCGAAGGCAGGTGTTTTTGCTGTCGAAATCAGCTTGAAGGAAAAGAGCCATTGTCTCGCGCGCAAACTGCTGTTTGTGCCAGCCCAGGTCAGCCAGCAAGGCAGACCAAGCACCATCGCTGCATTCATGCCGCTCCGCCTTCAGAACGGTAGTCACTAGGAGCTTTGCATGCTGCATCGCTTCAGCACGCCTTGCACTATCTTTGCTGAGCACTGTTGACAACAGTGCAGGCATGGACATCCAGAAGTGAGCATTGGACCAGAACACGTTGCTTGCCAGCGAGGCAGCGAACTTGCTGCACGTTGACAGCAGCTCCTGCTCCTGCAGTGCCCATTCTGGCATCTCCTCAGGCCGGGCACGCCGGGAGGGCTTCGTCATCTGCAGTGCATCATGCAGTTTTTTTTGACCCAACTTCTCCAGAATGTCATGGACAGTATCAACATACTGCCCCAGTGAGCGGGATGCTGCAAAGGACGCCTGAACATGCCACCCCTCGGCAGCCGCTTCCAAGGCCTTGTAGTATGCGTTCTCCAGTGGCGACGAGATTTCGACAATCAGGCGGGCCACCTGCTGTAGGCGTCCATCTGACATGAAGCCCGCGATCATGTTGGTTGGCCCATCTTTGTTGAAGATTTGGTAAAGCTCCGTTTTGTTCCTTGGTTCTGGCGGGGGTTTCTGCTCTTCTTCCTCAGCCTCGTCCTCCGTGTTCAGCTCCTGCTCCTGCTGCTCGGCTGGATCCCCCTTTTTCTCCTCACACACTAACAAAGCAAGGCCCGAAGCCTCTTTGAATGCGTGATGGTTTTTTGATGAATATAGTTAGGGCCTGCTGTGTGGTCATAATATAAACCATCGGAGTCAGTCAGATCTAACTAACGATGTTTTTTTTTGCGTCTTCTTAGGTCATCGAGTTATTGTAAAATAATCCGACGTCTGAATTACGTATTGATGGGGTGGTCCTCGTGACTCCAGTAGACTAGTAACTGCGCCCTTCCTAACAGCAGTTTACAGCCTACCCCTGTGTCTTGAAACCAACTCATTTAAGCTACCAACACTACACCCTTATTAAACTCAGCTCGGTCAGGTTACAAGGTGACGGCGGAGCGCGTGAATTGCTTCCTCCTGAATGGACCAGTCATAAAGCAGGTCCCGGAGCGATGCGTGTAACCCGAACCAGGCTTTCTGCTTGACCTGGGCCGTAGCGGATTCAGGGCTTGCGATTGAAAAGTTTCAGCTTGGGGCCGGGGATGACTGTTCACAGTGGCACGGATAATAAAATCATAGTGCATACATACTCCAGGGTTTAGGGGTTTAGGGATTAAGTCGGTCTAGAGAGTTTAGGGATTGAGGGTTGTGTGGCTCAGCAGACTAAAATGAAATTGACGCTGCATCTGAGAATAGAAAACCTGGAGCAATCCTCTAATACTTACGGACATACGTCTACCTTTCTCGTCCGGAAGTTTAAAGTGGCCCAACCCTAGATTCAGTATTCAAGATCAAACCCCGTAACCTACACTCGCGGCCCGGAACACATAGTAATCGAAGCAGGGCACGTACAGCCCACGGTTGCGCAGAGCACGTGTGTTCATCCACTCAGACATACACTCCGCAGGGTCTAGCTGCTCGTCGAAACTTTCACCACGATCATGGGCAACCCTTTCAGCAAAAGAGTCAAAGGTAGCTTCCATCTTGCTCCTCCAGAATTCCGGAGAAGCACAGGTTGTTTAAATGGTTTAGGGTCTATAGGGTTTAGGGTTAAGGGTTTAGGGTTTACTTCACAGCAGAATTTCAGGGTTACGGCGGTTACGGGGTTTGGCCCAGGTCCGTGGGAGATTGCAGGGATATGCAGTGCTGCTACGTGTTAAACTATTGCGGATCTTGTCAATAATCTTGGGTGTGTTGAAGTCTAGCACAGTAAGCAACTAGTCCTCGAGGTAAGCCTCAAAAGCGTCCCGCTTCGCTTCTAATTTGTCGCCTGACTTCCAAGCACCATGGTCGAAATTGCCTGTCTGGATCTGGAAAACCGACTAGGCTAGGTAGCTGGTCCATTGTACGGGCACAAAAACCCCTAGTCACAGCCCCGAGGAGTGTTTGCCAAATCAAACCCAAACGTCAGATCAGCGAAAGCTTCATGACCGACATAGTCAGCCCGGCGGTCGACATCGCCTTCTTGAAGGCGTTCCAGGCAGGGTGCGAGGATTCGGATTCGGAGAACCCGCGCAGGTGCAAACGCTCCCACGCGTAGTTGAAAGCTTTGTGCTGCACCCCCTCATCATCACCCACCAGCTTGAGAATGCGCATCTCCTACGGTTTCAGAAGATCACGACTCTTGTCTTTGTCATGTGATCCATGACTCAATAATGATTATATGCTGCAAAAATCAACAGCTCCTCGACTGGCCTGATCTGGGCCGTAGATAGGTCTTGCTTTCCCGGCTGCAAGAGTTCCTCATTCGGCACCCCGAACGTTGCCAAGTTTTTTCCAGTCATCATCACCAGTATGTGGTTCACCACCTTGAGGATCACCTGGGAGGCTTCAGATTTGCAGGAAGTGCCAGCGTCGCGTACTGTGCTCTGTCTGTTTATTTTTATTTCTCTCTCTGTCTGTCTTTCGCTAGATCTCCTTCTTTCTCTGTCTTTCTAACGTCTATCTCTGTCTCTATCTCTGTCT